CCAAATCAAACGAAACTGCAATTTTCATTTTAATTGGTTTTTTATGTTATCTAAAAATATCAATGTGAGATTTTTTTTTGACGTTCGGCAGCTTAAAGGTTGTGGACAAGCAAAATGTTCGCAGGAAAAATACTGATATTTTTTAGGTTGCCGTTCTCTAATGGCATGGATCAAACTATTCTTTAATTTATGTCAAAACGGTCAAGTTAAACAAGAGCTTTTTTAATCAAATACGTAATATTAGAATTTTATCATTTAAAATTGGGATAATTACATGCAGAGCACCCCAAGCATTGCTATTCATAAAATCTTGCAAATATTTTTGCTCCATCAACCATTTGTATTTACACATGTCTCAGATCAAATCATTGAGAATTTGATAAAAATGAAAAAAAAAATTTGGGATTCATCATGACTTTTGATATTTAAAGAATATTACATCTTGATGATCAACATTCAGATTAGATGTTTATGATGTTATTAGATTTGTTATTGGTAGTATTGTGTTGTTATTTTGATAAAATAAAACTACAATATTACTATCATTTGTAGATGGAATTGTATCAGGAGTCTTGATGTAATATTTTTTCTTGAGTAAGAATTTGAGAAATGGAACATCCGCACGGAATATTTTTTCCATATAATACATATTATGCCAAACTTAAATTTAATGAAAATAAATTTCAAAATTGTTGATTTCATTTTCATATAAAAAAATGTAATGTATATATAATCAGTCAAAGTTAATACTAAATTAATCTCATAAAAAAAATCATAAAATTTGAGACTTCACAAGAATTTAATCAAATTTTCTAATTAAATTTATGTAGTATGAATTTTGAGTGTCATATATAAATAATTCAGGGAAGATTTACATACATACCACTCAATTCCTCTGTATTTACATATCTAACACCAAATTAGTGTACATACCACCTTACTTATGTATGAAAGGTGTTTTTTAAGATATAAAAAGTGTGCTATTTTTAATGTGAAATGAAAATTTTGGATGATATAAATGTAAAAATTAGTCTTCGTGTTACTTATGTGGCTACATAAGAAATGGGTTATATGTATGTAAGAAATGGGTTGTATGTATGTAAATGCCCCAATAACTAAATCTTTAATGTATTACATTAGCATCAAAAGATATTCAGATTTCTTAAAATAATTTATTATTAAATTTGTTCATGATTTTCTTGTTTATTTTAAAATAGTTTGACGTATCCCTTACAACAATTTATTATATTTTAATATAATAAATTATTATTTAGGTCAAATGTCCATACATCTGTAATTCAATTACTCTCTACATAGTTATTTGACAATTGGATCAGCCTTATGCTGTTGAACTAGTCATACCAGATATTAACCTTTTTAATATAAAAAAAAAATTGCTCATAATATTTTGTCAAATTTTTCTATTAAAAAAATTCAAAATTGTTGTATTCAATTTGAAATAAGTAGAGCTGTCAAAATGGCTCGTCCGACTCATTGTGTAGCTAGTGTCCGAACACGAGTGATTCACAAAATTTTATGCACTCGATATATAAACAAGCCGAATATAAACAAAACTCTATTCGCATGAAAAAGCTATATATATATATATATATATGATTGATGAGTATTATTTTTGAATCTGTAAAGATTTATAATCAATTAAAATTATTAATTTTAAAAACAAAATAAATATATTTTAAATAAAATTTAAATGAATATTTTAATATAAATAATAATATTTAAATCCCGGCCTTACCTTTAAAATTCTATAATTGTATGACTAGGATTATCAAAACGGCTCGCCAAGCAAACGAGCTGAGCTCGAACAAAATTTGTGAGCTCGATATATAAACAAGTCAAACACGAACAGTGGTGTTTTTAACGAGCCGACCACGAACGGAGTATGGGCTCGCTCGAACTCGCTCATTTACCCCCCAAAAAATAAGTTTAGTAAAATGTTTAATTGATTCTTTTATATTGTTCTTATCTTATGATTAATCCCTCAATTTTAATATCTAGCCTAGCTAAGTGAAACATGGAAACTATTGTTAAGAAAAATATATTTTTAAAATTAATAATATAGATTGTATGAATGTATTAATTTATATGTCGTTGTATAGTTCCCTTATTCAAATAAATTTTCCTCTCGGATCATACAGATGATTCAAAGTAGAGATGAATCAATAAGAAAGGAGATACGACAATAAATAGGCAAATAAACAAAAAGAAACAAACTAAAGGCTTTAGCATGAGTAATTCTCGTTGATGGGTCAAGAGTATACGTCTGAATAAGATGGGATCATAATACAAATATAGATTGTGGTGATTAAGAATGCTCTGAAAAGTTTAAAATCAACAGCCCTTGATATTCAAATTTCAGTTATGACCAATATAAAAAATTGACTATGAAATAGAATTCACAATTAATTGATGAATGTTATCTTAGTCATTTATATGGAGAAAGAAATCTTGGATGGCATCGATTATCATGTAATCACTCAATATTTTTGTAATATAAATATAAAAAGTTATAAATAGTAAATTTTCTTATCATTATGTATTTAATCTTTAAATTCTAACAAATTCTAGTATGACGAATGATATTTTTGTATAGGGACGGTTTTCGGGAGAGAAGCTTGCAGAATGTTCAAAATTTAACTTAATGTTAATTAAGTGTAATTAATTAGTAACATTAATAACTATAAAGGCTTTTTAAAGTCAACAATATCTAGGTATCTATGTAAATCATCCTTTTTTTTTTCTGTGTTTGTCTTTTTAAACAGAAAAGATTTCTTAGTGCACCTGTAAATGATATCCACAGAAGGACAAAGACCTTTTGGCTCCACCGAAACCCAAAAACAAAGCACAACAATAAAGAAAAGAATGATACGAACGGCACGACTACAAATCAAAGTTCGCTCTCTTCTTTGTTCCTTTGAACTCCGGTTCGGTTGCATACATTCCCCAATGAGAGAAATATTTGCGTACGGAAGACGTACGCAGAGCTGCGTATTTCTTGTACGTTACAGGGAGGATATTGGAGGTTATATCAGTATTATACCCCATATAGCATTCACGTAACTTACCTGTAACCTATCTGTAACCAGTAAGTTACGCGTATCTGTTTTTATATATTTCTAAGTTACATGTAGATTATATGTAGGTTACAGAGAGGTTACAGGAGGTATAACGCGGATATAACCCTCAATACCCTCTTTGTAATCTACCTGACGTAAGACGTACGCAAATATTTCTCATGAAAGTTAAAAATATTAGGTACGAAATCTACTTATAAGTAATTTTTTTGTACAATAGTATCGTATATTATTGTACTTATGAGTATAAAATATGTCACTGTTATACAAGAAATCTATATGTATGTGAATTTTGTACATAATATTCTCTCCAAAGAAATACAAACCTCAATTTAAATCAAATATTCGAATCAAATTCGTGGCTAAAGTTTTTATGTCCTTCTCGTCGATAATATTTTAGGGTTTTTTTTTTTTTTGCGATCAGTTGTGAAATAGGAAGAAAATGTTAACCATTATGAAAATCAAAAGTCAAATTACCCTTTTCAAACTTCGATGGAGTGATCAATGTAATTCAATTTGGTATTGACTTTTTTTAAAAAACATTAATTTTTTATAGCCGTGATTGATTTGTAAAATGCATTTTTCAAAAGCTTGCTGAAGTGCTGCGATGGCGAAAAGATAAGGGGCAACAAGGCGGCAGACGGAATTTCAATGACTCTTGCTTTGACAAATATCATTTAAAAATGCTAAAGCTAGCAGATTATGCTTATATATATTTTTTTAATAAGAGCACAAAAGGCTCCAATTTTATTATCACAAGAAAAAAATTACCAAATTAGGAATAAGATCCCAACTCAAACCCTATACAACTCACACAAAGAAAAGAAAAAGGGTTCATATCCCAAGAAAGAAAAAATACAATTCACACCACACCCAAACCCCCAATAAAGAACATTATTAAGATAAATCCTTAATAGTTAAAGCTAACAAATCATCAGGAAATCTAAATAAAACTTTAGGAATCAAACAATTATACCCGAACTTAGCAGTCCAATGAGCCACATAATTTCCTTCTCTTCAAACATGAGACCAAATCACATTCATACTCACAGTTAAAGCTTTGATTCTCTTCATCTGAATCAAAATACTCCAATGTACCTCCTTAGCAAACTTGCAACACTTCCAAAGGATCAGAGAATCCATTTCAACAATGACATTATATATACCCAGCCTCTTAGCAACCATAAGTTCAAACACTACGACATCAGCTTCAGCAGTTAATGGTGAGCAAGGAACAATCACAGCTGCAAACCAACAAAGAATGGATCCAACAAACACCACCCACACTAGCAGCATTCGATTTCGAACAACCATCAGTATTTATCTTGAAATAATGAGCATTTTATTTACACCAATTAACTCAATTAAACTGTCTAACATAATGATTGTGTAACACCATCTGTTGAATATAGTCAGACAACATATCCAAACCTTTACCTTTAAAATTAATGACTCAGACTTTTGCAGAAGTAACCAAATATTACACCCAATGTATTGCAAATATTGGGCTTGCTTGTCACCTTTAAAAATTTAAAAATAGCATTATTCCGAACTATCCATATAAACAACAAGATCACACAAGGAACAATATTAAAAAACACCTTACCAATATTCTTCCATTTGTTGAACAAATCAAAAATAGAATGGAAAGAATGATCCATTCTAAAATTAAGGAGTCTCTCATTAAGTATGTCCCAAATTTCAGTAATAAAACTGCAGTCACCAAAAATATGAGTAGTAGATTCCTTTTTTCCTTACAAATGATGCAACGAGAAGTAAGTCTTAAACCTTTCATCTTTAGAATATCATCAGTAGGAATGAGTTTATTTAACACACGCCATATAAAGAAAGACAGAGACGGTTTTAACCATGGATTCCGAACCCAATCCAGATTCAATCCATTAGATATCGTAATAGCAGAAGCAAAGCTTTCGGTAATCGAATCATTTAACCTCTTTTTGATAATTTAGAACATATAGTTGTTTCGAAAATTAATAATATGAATTAGAATTCATTAAAAAATTTTATAAAACGTGGGTTCAAGTTTAAGCCTCGTTTAATATTAAGAAAAAAAAAAGTTATATAAACCGTACGATGAAATCACATTTTTGCTCCCTCTAAAAATCCTTATTTATTAAATGAAGACGCTTCTTTTAAAATTTGTCCTAAAAATAATTAGTTGATTTGATTGGACTGTAATTTAATAAATAGGCCAATAAAATAAGTTATTATGAAATTTCTTTAAATAAAATGGCAGATTGCAGTTACCTGACTAAAATTGCTGGAGAAACAACACAATGGTGTTATAACATCTCATATAACAGTTGAAATTTTATTACAACACTCAATGGTCATTACAAAGAAAATTAATTGATATCCCAATAGTTATAATAATATTAAGGAATATTTATGTACTTAACACCCAATTTTTACATATGAACAAATCAACCACCCAAACTTTAATTGTTATCTTTTCAGCATAGCTGGGTGGATTGTAGGTAAGAATTAAATTTTAGGTAGTTGATATGTTAATACATTGGATTTTAAAAGTGGTAGGTATCTAAATGTTGGTAAAAAATCACTATCCATGATGTTTTCTATATAAGATATTAATCTCATTTCAATTTATAAGTGCATTTTAAGAAAACTATCCAACTTGGGGATGAGGAGAGAAAAACCACTATAATAAAGTGCTTCTCTTTAAGCTGGTGTCGTACAGCTAAGTGCCAACTGAAAGCCATTTAACCGCACCACTAATCCAGTATGGATTGTCAACTGAAAGGCCATTTAACCGCACCACTAATCCAGTATGGATTGTACCCTCTGTACAAAGTTGACTTCTTTGGTCTTCCCACTCCCTTGCCCGCAAATCCCCCATTTATGACAAAAAATGTAAAACAAAAATAAGGCATAATTGCAATACACTCACTCACGCACACAAAAACAAATTTTTATATTTAGTGATATGTCATTCAACGTTCTAAAACTATTGATAAATCGTTCTGTTTGGTTAAATTATTATTTGCAAGTCCTCTCAGCTTCAAAGTATTGTGATATAAAAGTCTATATGCGATATATCAATAGTTATAAAATAGTCGGTGGATATGCCATTCAATATAAAAATATAAAATGATATTACAATGAAAAAAAAATTTGAATCACTTCGTTTTGAGTTGTAAACAGCAAGAATTACAGAGCAAGAGAGGAAGTGCATAAGTTAGGTAGAAATCCATTTTAAACCAAAGCATGATATACCTTCCACCATTTTTGACTTTAAAAAACTGAGCCGAGAAAAAAAAAAGAAAACTTTATTATATATATATAAGAAGAGGCATGTGATATGTAATCATGTTGATCATTTAGGAGAGCTGAACGGTGGGGCAGTAACTGGCAAGAGTAAATGCAAAGGAGGAACGGAGCCAACCACAGATAGGAGCAAAAAGAAAAAAAATTGATTTTGGGCAGATATGGAAAGCAGATCCATACGTCTGCTTCAGCTTCTGCTTTTATTTGCATTCATTCACCTCATCATCTCCTCCACCGCTGATGATTCTTCATCGAGTAAATATTCTTCTATTTTTTGCTTTCTTTCCTGATCTGCTTCTCTATTTTTGATTATTTTTATTATTAGGGATAAGAAGAGTTATGAAAGGAGTAAAAGAGACGCGATTTCACAAAGAAACAGTTCAGGTAGTGGAACTTATTCTGCTTAAATCTCAAAGAGTCATAAACTGTTGACTCCTTATTTTGTCTTTTTTTTTTTTGGTTTTTTTTGCTGAAAGTCTTAACTCTTATGTGAAAAAAATGAATTTTATTTTATTTTAGCAGTAGTTAGTAGCTTATCAGAATATAATCCTATTAAAATATACTCCTGCTTGAATCATTGGCAGGGCCACATAATATTTCCATGGTTTTGCAATAGCTCTTATATTATATTACATACATACTTTGATGAATTATATAATTTGTAACTTGATAGATTGTAAGTTAAAGACAAAGCATTTTAATTTTCCTTTACCAAATATATATTCTCAAATGCTGAAGTATAAATATTTAAATGCAAAGTTCACAATTTCCAAATGAAAATTTTGAAAAGAAAAATCATAGAAAAAGCAGTTCATAAGCTGCACAGAAATCAAGTAAAGTTATTTCTTATAGTTCTGGCAAATATACACAGGTCAGTAGTGAATTAAAAGCAGACGAAGAGAAAGTCAGCATAAATGACAGGGTATTAGATATCGAAGACTACCCAGGATCTGGAGCAAATAATCGCCATAGTCCGCCTACAGATGGGAACTAGAAGATCCATATTTGGCCTGCTGAGATGCTGAGAAGGATAGAACTGTAAAAAGTGGCTTTCAGAGGACCTTAGAGAAAAAGTGAAGCTATGCTGTTGTTCTGTGTTTTGGTTTTCTAGAAATATAGAGCTCAGTGTTACTTGGATTGTGTCTTGAATTTCAATTTATGATGAAAATTTGGGACTGTCAATGAAGTTCATAAAATTTGCTGAAGATTGACTTTTTGCATTAATCGGAAGGGATTTCTTATCGCTAATGTTATTTCTTTTCGAGTGTTCTGTAAAAATTAATAAGCTTGTCTTTTAATTTAAAGATAGTTTTTTTATGTAAAGTTAGTGGTTCAAGAAGTTAAAAATAAAATTAAGGTTATGAGTGGATCAATGTACTCGAAGAATGCCTTGAATTTGGCTGGTTTAATACTGATTCAAGTTATTAATTATACAAATTAGAACTCTTATTAAAAATTGGAAGCCTAAATGAATTAACCCTGGACATGTTCTTAACCCAGAACATGTTCTTATTTATATTCAAGAGTACACTATGGTATGGCTCAAGAGTATACCGCGGGGCTTCTACTTGTCCAAGATAGCTTGCCATGAGTGATGTTACACTAATGTTGAAGTTCTGCTTCTTTTTCAACAAGTAGTACTTGATATTAAATATGTAATGATAGCTCATATAAAATTTAGATAAATTTAGCTAAATACAATTTATTTCGTTATTTATTTATTAATAATATTTTATATAATTATTTATTTAGAGAGATTTCAAATTCTTATCTTACATTTTGCAACTTTAATTATCATTCAACACTTTCTAGTTATGTCGGTTTAAGTATTTTCTACTTGTCCAAGATAACTTGCCATGAGTGATGTTACACTAATGTTGAAGTTCATGTTAGTGTGCATCTATAAAATATGACTAATGGTTCAATTTAGATGAGAAAAACTTTTAATAACCCTAAAAAAATAATGTATCTTAAGTAACTTCTCTCTTCTTAAACCTACAGTAAAAAATAATGTTACACTAATGTTTTAAGCTTGCTCGAATCTCCATTCATGAAAATTTAATGTCATATTGAGATAATTATCAAACTATTAATGATATATTTATTATGAACAATTTTAAAGCTATCTATAAAAAAAATAATCAGAAATAGAAGAGGAAGAAAGCATGATTTCTGATGGACAAGTAAGATCAATCATATTATATTTTAATAAGTCTTCTATGATCATTAATATAGGCCTCATTGTTGAACTCATGAATTTTCCTTGTAAGAATGTTAGTTATAACATAAAGAAAACTAGTTATGGGAGTTTCCCCATTGGATCTACCATTCTTAGCCTTGGAGATAGAAGGAAGAGAGGGATAATAGTCACTTTATCAGGTGAGACATTTTCTAAAGCAAGGAGAATTCAGGGAAGATCTAAAGAAAGAGATTGAGCTGACATATGTTTAATCTGAAATTAAGATGCCACTCCAATCATGCATGCATTATCTAATGTATAAGATTCATTAAGCACATTAGGAGTAATCTCACCAATCTTAATAGAGGATTCAACACTGCTAAAAGATTTTTCAGTTAATATCTGAAGCAGGAGGGGTTATGAATAATATAAGGGGGTAGCATGCGAGATTGAGGAGGTTTTCTTTTACTTCTATGAGATCTCAAAGCTTATCTATTCTTGCTTTTAGTCCTCCATTGAATGTAAGAAAAATGGGGGCTTGTTTGAAATTAAGGGATTTGGGAAAAGTAGATGATCATGAGCAGATGTGAAGCAAACAATACAAGACTCAGGTTTCCATTCATAAATAATAGGAAGAATAATATTTTGACCTTTAACATATTGGGTAATAGTATCTAAAATGATAAGAGTTGATATTGATCTACATAGTAACCCTAGTAAGGGTGAGGCGTGAGCCCTTTGCTGTGAGAGGGTCAACATCCAAAGGAACCCCTATTTTGCTAACAATTTTGCGGATACCATTTTTAGGACCAACAAACCAAAAATGATTAGAAATAATCACTCTGATTAAAACTTTTTTGATGTCTTATTTACTAGCTTAAAGTCATGAATTCAATTCCTAAAGATGAAAGGTCTACAGTTAATGAACCATGAGCCTCTCATCAAAACCAACTCAAACTCTTCAACACAATTAAACTTGTAAATAAAAAAAAACCTTTCATAAGAGATATAAGATCAAAAGTACCTCAAAGCTTTCAGATATTACTAATGTATCTAAAAATGTTTTTATATAAGAGATGTTTACCCAACACGCAGCTCACCAAAGCATGATTCCATCCCTTTGAACCTTCTTTAATCTCTTCGTCTGAAAATAAACTATCCTCTACACATGGTACGTAGGAGTGACTAAAGTTTGAAGAATCCAAACCAAGCAAAGAATGTGAAGAGAAAGAAGGGAGAGGAGGAAAATACGGGATGTCCATGAGAAGATAAAGGGCAAGGCCCTTGAGCCAAATGAGAATCCCAGATGGTAGCGTGAGGGGTGACGACTATGGTTTCACCAAGAATAAAAAATTAGGGAAATGAGAAACTTGAAAACCCTAGCATAGCTTAAAGGCATTTGAAAACTCATGAAAAAATGAGATGTTGAAATTTCAAATATCAACGCTCAAAGGGCAATTAATAAATAACTATACTTTGCAAAAATTTGAAACTTGAATTTAAAAAAGTTGAAGCTTAAGTTATTACCATGAAAATTGATCTACCTAAGTTAAGCTCACAACTCCTGTGTGCATAAGTGAAGTTGTGAAGGTTGCCCACATCCACTAGAATGAGCAGCACTAACGCCACAACTGATGTGGCCAGACCCAAGAAAAGTCCACCCTGCAAGTTGTTGGATATGGAGCATGTTCCCGCCTGCCTCCCTTTTCGCATCGCGCCTCACGCCGAACTTTGTAAAGCTTCCCGACTCCCGCTCTTTCTTCGCGTCGCACTTCACACGGAATTGCGGGAAGCTTCCGGTGTGAAGCTTCCCACCTCCCTGCTTACCTAAAATAAGCCTTTTAGTTTATTCTAAAGAAGAAGCAATTAGTCTGCTAAATGCCATCCAAATCACTCCTCTTCGGCTGATGTGTGCAAGAGAAAAGGACTGAATGTTGATTATAAAGGGAGATCACATGACAGAAACTCAAACAAAAGAAGATCAAAATCAAAGTCCGGTCAACAAGCAACCTGCTGGATTTGTGAATAAAAAGGAACTGCATGAATCCAAATAAGAAGGAGAATTGGATTTGTGACAAAGCTGGTCACATAAAAAGGAACTGCATGAATCCAAATAAGAAGGAGAATGATAGTGCTAATGTTGTAACTGAAGAAATAATAATGCACTACTGCTGGCAGTTCACAGTTCTGTTGATGACTGGTGTCGGTCGCCATGTGGCTGGGTGGGGTTTAATTTAGCGTAATATAATGTTTGGTGTCGGTCGCCATGTGGCTGGGTGGGGTTTAATATAGCGCAATATATTGTTTAGAAATTATGTATTTTAATTTAAAAAAAATGGGGTCAAACTGATCTCATTGATTCCTACAGTTCAAACCACAAGTAATGTACAACCCTGAAAGGTAATATACTACTTGATGATAAGCTCAATTAAATAAACTATAGAAATAAATGACTTCCGTTTGATCTGCAAGTTTGCATGATGACCGACAGATTCCCCTATTTGATATGGGAGTCAAATAGGGTTTATTTTAAGTTTGGGTACTTTTAAGTTCCATATAAGGGCAATGTTGACCTCACTTTTGGTTGAGGTCTAGAAACTTCTTTAATAGCCTAGGTCTAGCCATAGGACTTTC